AAGATAGTAATGCATAAGAGATTTTATGATGATGATTTGTATACTGTGACTTTGCTGCAACAGGGTAACAAGAATTTTCTAAATTGAGAAAGTTAGGGCATTAATTTGCACTCACCAGTCTTAATATGTTTTAAATAATAGATTTGACAATTTTATCCAATTTGAATGAAAAGGTATAGAATCCAATATTCTAGAATAAAATAACAATGCTAAAGCAATAGATCATAGCAACCTGAGTCTGCCATGAATATATTCACTCACATACATGAACTGAGGGAAGAAGAAATTCACAAACTTTCCACTCAAAGTAAATAATGAGAATTACTTGAAACCACAATGCTCTACTCATAACGTACTGATACTGTTTGTTTCTTAAAAATCTATAAAAAATGGTCTTCAATCATTCATCTGAATAAAAGCCTAGGGTAACATTAACTGATACATTTCAAGAATTCAAATGTTTAAAATACACGATAGGAAGGTTTGAAATTCCTACACCAAAACAGATCAATGACACACCAAAAATAATAAGTTTTTTTTAAAGGGGGAGGAGGGGGGGGGGGGGGAAAAAAATGCCAAGAAATAACTGTACCCCGAGCAGATTAAGTAGAACCTTAGAAATCTTACTTTCTATATTGATACATATATCTAATGATTGAGGTACAAGTGATTTAAAAGTATTGTGGCCAGAGTCATTGAGTTCTATCACATTTTCCACAGGCTGAGTCACATTGACTTTGAGACAAGAGAATTTATACATTGATCTTTAAATATGCACATTAATGTTCATGAAGTGAAAGAATATTCCAATGGATCATTGTGCATTGTGAGTACCAGGTTAAGTAAAACAAGGAGCAAATTGCATGGAAGAGCTGAAGAAAGTGATGTAGTAAAAACACTGCCTTCCATATCACATTTTGTAAGGAAATTATTGGAGTACACAAAGTATATCCAGGGTGCTAATAAGCACCAATAAATAATGTCAACACCGTTTCCCTTCATCATCTTTCTAAAAAGAAAAAAAAGTTTTCCATTTAGTCTTTTCATTGGTCACAGTTGCATCTTGCAATACATATGCAGGTAAAGCACACAAGTGAGCGAATATAATCTGGACAAACCAGGATGCCAGCACCCTTTTCTTCTGTTCCCTGTAGGAAAAAAAAAGGGTGGGGCTTGAGTTTTGATGTTGCCCCCACAAAAGTTTAAAGGATTTTAAAAAAACAAAGAATGTACTTACTAAAGAATTTCAAAGGTTTTCTTCAATTCTACCATAAGTTGCCAGTCTTGCTTATTTAGATCGTCACGGAAGTAGTCTTTGCAAGCATCAATAGATTGTCTGCTTATCTAAAAACACACACAAACATCAAACAAAAAGAGATTACAAATTGGAAGCATAAAGAAACACTTCTTGTTAATTTGCATATATTTGATAAAAATTTGCGTTGCATACCTTGCTGACCAGCATATCAGTTTCATCAAAATGTCTTCCAAACATTTTTGGTGCTTCACCCGGTACAGGCTCAATCTTAATACACACCTCCATTCCTTTGCGAGCACTTTCAACTGGTTTGTGATTACTTTCAACACTAGTGACAATACCAACCTCAACAAACTATTGAAAAGAAAGATTTTGAAAAGAAAGATTTAAAAGATGATGTTGACATAAAAATTACACATGGAATAGATGCAAAGAGGCACCAAAACACTCACCTCTTTACTAGGTACACAAATTGGTGTTCCCTCTCTAACAATACCAGCCTCAACCATTACACCACATACAATGGGATCACGAGAATTGAAAACAAACTGGAAGAGAACAGAGAGTGGGCAAGTCAGCAAGTCTATCTTCACTTTTGAAAATTGACAACAAAACATTGTGATATGATAAACGCACCTGAGGTAGAACACGGAGTTTGCATGGGAATACAGCAATGTGCTTAAATTCATCTCTCTTGCGCTGTTTTAATTCTTCCCTGTATGCCATAAATTTATCAAATAAATGATAGATGATATCTGCCTGGAATATTTTAACCCCAGTACTGTCTGCGAGTTCTTGAGCATCCCTCTCAACCTTCACATCAAAGGCTAGGATTGTTGCAAACCTAAATTCAAACAAAGTTATCATGTGAGAAAAAACTATACAGATCTATTTGGGGGCATAAACAAGGAAGGTGGTACTTACTGGCTATCATGCTCCAACATAATAGATGCTTTCATAACATCCTTTCTCACAACTGGACCAATACGAATATTTGCATACTGATGGAGAAAAACAATTACTTGTTATGTTTTACAATTTAACAAAATGATACATAAGACTAATACAGCACACTTAGAATGTAACTTACAGGAATCTTTGATGATTTCAAAAATTCTAACAATGCCTCAAGTGATCCAAGTGTGGAAGCCTGAACATAGACCCCACGCTCAGCTAGTCTAACATGACTGAGAGCAGACTTCAAATCTCTTGCAACTTCCTCTTTAAGAATTTCAACTTCATCAGGGTTTTGGGCAACTTGAAGATTAAGACCAGCAATAGCTTTTTCTAACTCTTTAGCAGCAATTTTTACACCTTGAGCTGCCTTTATCTCTTTGTACTCCACATAAGCATTCTGTCCACAAAAATATTTAAGAAATAAGTGAATATAATTTGGAACAAAATAAAAGTAAATTATAAGATAGAAGATTTAAAGGAAAAAGTAAAGAAAATTTAAGGACTTCAGAACTAAAGGCAATTTTTTCAGACTGTAAATATAACAGTGAAGAGTGTAACGCTGTTAATATTTTGATTACCTTAACACGTAGTTCTTTCATAGGCTGAGGCATCAGTAAAGATCGGATCTGAGTGACAACTGGCCCATCTGTACCAGCCACTATCATTGTATCTCCTTCCCTAAGTTTACCATTCACTAAGATACAATCTATTGTTGTTCCTAAACCAGGGATTGCCTTTACTTCCAGAACTGTGGCCTGTAAAACAAAATAATGTTGTAAAGACAAATTTTAAAACTCTCAGTCAGCGATAAGTAAGAAATTGACTTGATTGATTTACCTGCAAGTCATCTGAATACATGAGCCGTTTGGCAAGGAGATTCTGACAGTTATCAACAATGAGCGCCAAAATATTTCCCATACCTTCACCAGTGATAGCACTAGTGGGCACAAGAGAAACATAACTCCTAGGATCAGGATTTTCATAAAATAATGCTGCGTTGAGACCCTGGTATGACAAATGTCTTAATGAAACACATGCTTTTCAAACTGAAAATGAATGTCCCCCATTATATTCATCATTAATACCTGTTCAGCAAATTGTAAAATAACTTCTTTAGTTCGTTGCTCAAATTCAAGTTGAGTGTTGGCTTGCTGACCCTTTATAATATCACGAACATCCTTACGGTTCATAGTCTGCCAGTCATATAATCTGCAATAAATTTGTGCAATAAGTAGAAACATTTGATGAGACAACAAGTAAGTGGCATTCAAAATTGAAGTTACCTGTCAATTTTGTTAAGAGCAACTACAAATGGCGTTTTCTTAGTTTTAAGAAGATTTATTGATTCAATTGTTTGCGGCTCAAGTGCGTGCATAATATCAACAACTAAAATGGCAATATCACAGAGTGATGAACCACGATTCCTCAAATTTGAGAAAGATTCGTGACCAGGTGTATCAATAATCAGAAGCCCTGGAATTCTTAAATCATTTTCATCAAACTGAAAAAGAAAATTAAAAAATTGAGATACACATAACAAGAAAATCTTGTTGACATAATAGTATTTTGGTCTCCAAAGTTAACTTACGTCTTTAACTATTTTAACTTGCTCTTTAATTGCATCAATTGGGACATTAGTAGCACCAATTTGTTGGGTAATACCGCCAGCCTCACCATCCTGGACGTTAGTTCTTCTAAGTTTATCTAAGATCTTTGTTTTACCTATAACCCAAAAATTTGAACTGTTGTAAACCTGGTAAACTTTATAAAATTTTAATCAGTGATAGAGGAAAATATAAATACTTGCCAGTATCAACATGTCCAAGGACACACACAACTGCAGCTCTAAGATTTTTAACTGTTCTGTTCTTTTCTGCCTCTTCCCGGCGTTTCTGCAAGACATTATTTCATAATGGTACATGTAGTTCAAAGACAAAATGATCTGATACACAGCAAGGCAGGTAGGAAGCAAACACCTACCTGTATTCTTGACAAAGCCTTTTCACGTTTTCGTTCAGCATCAGTTCTACCAGTGTCACTGTCACTCTCCTCACTGTCGCTGCTCTCTTCTTCTGAGTCACTTTCACTCTCTTCATCTGACGACTCATCTTCAGAAGATTCTTCGGCTACCTTCTTTCCTCCCTTGGCTGGTGCAGGCGCTGGAGTTTCAGTCTCAGTTTTTTCTGATTAAAAACATGGAACAGAGAATGAAACATTTGGTTCCTAACGACTAACACAGTTTTGAGCAAATTTAAAGTGCTCATAGAATAAAATTTCTAACTTACCTTCCTCCTCTGATGACTCAGCATCCCAAGAATCTTTAACATCATCTTCAGGTTCTTTAGGCTTCTCTTCCTTTTTGTCAACAATTTCTACCTGAATGGTTTCTGATTGGGTGTCAGGTTTCTGAACAGAATCATCTAAGACAAACAGAGGGATGTAGATTATTAACTATACCATGATCAATATATTACACAGTGAAAGTGACACCAGGAATTACAAAAGAAATATAAAACAAAAATGGTAATGTTACCTTTATCCTGACTTGTTTGAGACTTGACCTTTGAAGGCCTTACCCTAGTGCCTGGTCTAACAGGTTTCTTTTCTCCTACATTTGGCAAATCAAGGCCTTGGGCTTTACGAGCCTCCAAAAGTGCCTGAGCACGGGCTCGTTCTGCCTTCTGTTTCGGAGTTAAAAGTTTGCCTTCAGCCTTCAAGCGCTCCTTGCGTTCCTTTTCCTTCAGTTTTTTCTTATCCTTGCGCTCCTGCTCTAATTTTGCCTGAGGGAAAAAAAGTTAAAGATTTACTGGTAATCTTCTAAGTACATAGGTAATTACAAGTAGGACATGAGTAACAAGAACAAGCTTAAGTGGGAAAAGGCAAAACTACTACATACTGCCTCTCTCTTGGCCTCTTCAGCGGCTTCAATTCGCTGTATCCGCTCCTCCTCTTCCTTTGCCATTCGTTCTTCTTCTTCACGTATTTTCTTCAGAGCTTCCTGCATAGCAGCAATTGTTTTCTTTGCAGGTCCCTTTTTACCCTTATCACCTTTATCATCGTCTTTGTCATTTCCCTTCTTTTTCTTCTTCTTCTTGTCATCCCCATCTGGAAAGTACAAGGATGATAAGTCCAGAACACTATTTTAAGAAAGTAAGAAAGAGCGTTTGATTTAAGCATCTACCTTCAGCTTCATTCACTTCCTCAACAGGAGGTGGAGCCTTCTTTTCTGGTTTCTTCTCAGTCTTAGGTTTAGGGTCCTCTGTTACTTTTCCTTCCTAGACAAAAGAGAACCAAAATATTGTTAATAGGAATCAATCAATAAATATTCTACCATTCATACTACACCCAAGAATTTACAAACCTTCTTTTCTTGCTTCTGCCTTTCCTTTTTCTCTTTCTTTTTCTGAGCAGCAGTCTTCACTGTTCCACCTTCTTCATCATCACCACCATCCTCTAAACCATCTTCCTCAGTTTTTTTCCCCTTCTTTTTAGACTTCTTGTCGGCTTCTTCATCTGGAAAGAATGTAGAGTACAAGTAGTAGAAATGAACAGTAAGAAAAATGTCAATCCAGCTGAATAAACAGAAGACTCACCATCTTGTCCTTCATCAGCACCCTTCCCTTTTTTCTTCTTTTTCTTCCCTCCCTCCTCCTCACCTGCATCCTCCTTCTTGACTCCTGCATATTCCAAGGCAAGCTCAGCAAGCATTGCGTCCAGGTCTTCATCGTCATCATCACCACCCTTCTTCTTTTTCTTCTTCCCACCCTGTGATGCAGGAGTAGGTTTGTTACCCTTCTTGCCTTTACCCTTTGTGCTCACCTCCTCAGGTTCAGAATCTGTCTCAGGTTGAGGGGGAGGACTCTCTCCACCAGAATCGTCATCCTCAACTGACAACAGAGCAAAGCTGGATTTTACAGCTCCAACCTCTTCATCACTAGAATCCCCTCCCTTTTTCTTCTTCTTCTTACTCTTCTTGTCAGCCTTTGTGCTCACACCCTCACTTTCATCATCACTGTCATTCTTGGCCTTTTTGCCCTTCTTGGATTTAGCCTTCTTTGCAACATCACTTTCATCTTCTTCACTGTCACTTTCAGCAGCCTTGCCTTTCTTCTTTTTGTCTTTTTTCTTTGCCGGCTTTGAATCCTCATCATCACTTTCAGCATCATTGTCAGATTCAGCTACCTTCTGATGATAAAAGACAAATTGCAAAAATTGTGAGTTATAGAGCTCAAAAGGTACTATCAGCATAAATTAACATTATAAATGATATCAGGATGACTATGCCACATACCTTACTCTTCTTCTTCCTTTCCTTTCCTCTTGATTTGGGCTGTTCTTCATCTTCAGTGTCAACATTTTTCTCAGCTTTAGACCTATAAATAACAAGAGCACATATGTTAAAATTAGTCACAGTTGAAGCATTTAAGCTATTACACACAGCTGTCCGAACACCAACTTTTTAGATGATTGAGATGGCTTATCTTCTGAGACTTGAATTTCCACTTCATCATCGCTGCTAAAAGGAGAAAGAAGATACCAAACTTAAAATCTCATCAAACGTTAACTTACAGCACAATATTAATTACGATTATGCTGCTGAATCATGTACACTCTAACACTAAAGGCAAGTTCACAAGGGATAAAATAGGGAGAAAATATTGGCATGGTGACACATTTCAAGAGAATCATTCAAAATGATGGTTACACAATAAAGTTGTCATCATACACATCCCATCAGTGAGCCCATCAAATGTCAAATTGACTGTCTCTAAATGACAAGGTCAAAAGACCCATAAAAGTGTTAATCTTATAGCACGACACACGATACAATGGCTTGTTCGGTCACAAAACTCCAAAAAGAATATGTTATTGTTGAGTTGATGAACATTCCGATAGAAGTTAGCCTTAACGTTGAGCATGGCAAGCAGACAGATTGTGCAACAAACGACTTACATTTCTTCTTCTTTACCCAAAGTCTTGCCCTTCTTGGCTTTACCCATTCTTAACTATGAACGAAATACGATTCGGCAGTAATGTACCACTGGGACAACACCATAAACGCAATTAATCCAAGTGAATTTTCGCAAAATATGCCGGCAGGCTTTGCATTCGATATCACCAACCTAACCTAACTTCACAGCCACAGCCAGAAAGGCAGAAAAGAGAAGACAGGATAGCCAACTTCGCTTTTTCATCAGAGGTTAGCCAGACTGTCAAAAAGTACAAGGTGGGCCAACATTCGTTACTTTATTTTTCAGTGTCGGGACCCCCCAAACCTTCCAAACTGCCTACAGATATGCCGTATATTTTCTCTGCCATTTTAAATAAGATCTTGGATAAAAATCAGGATAATGTCTTCTTCAAAACTACAGTTTTAGACAGGTCGTAGTGTTGGTACATGTTGGTAGTTGTTTTTGTTGTTAGTTGTTGTTGGGTAGCAGGGTCAGAAAACATAACCTGTTTATTGTTTCGTCCGGTGAGCACTTATTTCGCAATTTTTACTCTATCTCTCTCATTTCTGTGCTCGTAAATAGTTATAGAGCCAATATTTCAATGTCTTTTACGTGCCTCTAGTGTCATTCGTTACCCATGTTTAACGAGCCTTGCTTTTATCAATTTTTACAGTATCTTGATACTATGCTACGCCGGTGACAGATTATAATCATGAATTTGAATGACTTTTAAGTATTATGGACAACGCCTTTAGGCACTAAGATCGTAAACGTTCCATATTTTATGAAGGTTAGAGTTTTTCCCCCTTCGTTATAGCCCAATGTGTCTGCTTTCATTAATCAGTTTTCTTGTCATTAAGTTAGTTATCTTGCTTTCCAGCTTTTCATAAGTTCTTTTTGAACTAGTTCCCACAATGTTCTCTGTGTGTCGTCAAACACACCCAGCAACAGCTGTTGAACATGCCATTACGTGTAACTTCTTCAACCGAAATGAACGATCATTAGTAGTTGCTGGAGCTAACATACTTCGTGTGTTCCGACTTGTCCCAGATGCAATACCCAACAAAAATGAAATTCAAAGAAGTATGTGATTCCATCTTTAGTTTAACATTAATTCATTTACGCAAGATACACTACAGTCTTTTTATCTTCTATCTTGTTTTTCAGACAGGGGGCCACCTGTTATGAAATTAGAATGTTTGGCAACGTACCATTTATTTGGAAATGTCATGTCACTCCAGGCAGTATCTTTGGCAGGATCAGGACGAGATGCGTTACTACTGTCTTTTAGAGATGCCAAGTTATCACTTGTGGAGTATGATTTGGACACGCACAATCTTAAAACCTTGTCTCTCCATTATTTCGAAGAAGAGGACATGCGGGTACAGTTTTTAATTAACAATGTCAATGTTTAGTACTTCTTGCACTCACACTGACTTATACTTTCAGGGTGGTTGGATGCATAACTTCCATATCCCAATGGTGAGGGTGGACCCAGAAGGTCGTTGTGCTGCTATGTTGGTGTATGGTCGTAAGCTGGTGGTCCTGCCATTCCGACATGAATCTGTAGTTGAAGATCCTGATGCTACATCTGCTGAAGCCAAAGGTAGTGGACCCACCAATACATCTGGTACAAGTGTTATGGCCTCCTACATGATCATCCTCAAGGATCTTGATGAGAAAATGGATAATATAATTGACATCCAATTTCTTCATGGCTATTATGAACCCACTGTTCTTATACTATATGAACCAGTCAGAACATTCCCAGGGTGAGTGAAGTATAGTAAAGCTGAGATTTAAAAATGGATAAATAATTAATTTGCTACAGTATACTTTCCATGAATTTTTTCATATCTGAAATGCAACTGTCATTTTTTTTTTTTTTTTCAGGAGGATAGCTGTAAGACAAGATACTTGTTGTATGGTCGCTATATCATTAAATATCATGCAACGAGTTCATCCTGTAATTTGGTCTGTGTCTAACTTGCCATTTGATTGTGTTCAAGCACTTGCTATTGAAAAGCCTCTAGGTGGTACTCTTATATTAACCACAAATGCTATTATTTATCTAAATCAGAGTGTTCCTCCATTTGGAGTGTCTCTTAATAGTGTAACTGATATAAGCACCAATTTCCCTCTGAGTAAGTTCATCAATAAACACCTGTTATTCCTCTACGTTATGATATAAACTTGATCTAAAAGCAGTGTGTTCTATTTGCAGAAGTCCAGGAAGGTGTTTGCATGACTTTAGAGGGAGCGCAAGCAGCCTTTCTCTCGCATGACCGTGTTGTACTCTCGCTGAAAAATGGTGAACTGTATGTTCTTACTATATATGCCGACAGCATGCGTAGTGTACGCAATTTTCATTTTGAAAAGGCAGCTGCCAGTGTCCTGACAACCTGTGTAGGTCTTTTTTTCCCTTTGTAATTGCTTTTTGTGCTTCTGGACACTATTTGCTACATGAGTTTTTTCCTTCAGATGTGTATGTTTGAAGAAAACTACCTATTTTTGGGGTCACGTCTTGGAAATTCCCTGCTGTTACGTTTCACTGAAAAAGAACAGAGTACAACCCTAAAACTAGAAGAAAGAAGAGAGCCAGTGGCTAAAAAGAAGCGTTTGGACACCTTGGGTAAGCATTTGATACCCAAGATCAATAATCAAATACTTTGCATGTGATAAGCATTTTATAGGTGTTAATTATTTTATTTTTTATTGCAGGAGATTGGATGGCATCTGATGTAGCAGATATCAGGGATCCTGATGAGTTAGAAGTGTATGGACGAGAACATCAAGCTTCCACCATTCAGATTGCTTCCTATGTGTTTGAGGTTTGTCTTTATACAATACTATATGTCATAGTATTTTATTCCCTACACAAGGTCCTCTTTAAAAAGAAAAATCTTCTAGGTATGCGACAGTTTGCTGAACATAGGCCCCTGTGGTGATGTTGCAATGGGTGAGCCAGCATTTTTATCCGAAGAATTCTCTTCAAACACTCAAGATCCTGATATTGAGCTTGTAACTACATCCGGCTATGGCAAAAATGGGGCTCTTTGTGTCCTTCAACGTAGTGTGCGCCCTCAGGTACAGCCAGTTTTTTAATTCATTGTGGTGGATCAATTTTATCTGTCCCTCTTGATTATTTTGTTAAAACTTCAATTTTTTATGTTTTAAAGGTTGTCACTACATTTGAACTACCTGGTTGTATTGATATGTGGACTGTTATCAGCTCAAGCCATGTTGCAGATGATATTTCTGTTATTGACAATGATCCAACCCATGCTTTTCTCATTCTAAGCCAAAGATCTTCTACTATGGTGAGGTTCAAAGAAAAATTAAATACAATGAAATTATTAACAGTATCTTCCTCTCTGTTTCACTCTAAATTCTATTACAGGTGTTGCAAACAGGCAGAGAAATTAATGAAGTGGATCAATCAGGTTTTAGCACAGAAGGAGCCACTGTTTATGCTGGAAATCTAGGACTGAACAAGTATATTATCCAGGTGTGATTTTGCTTTAGTCTTAATGTCAATACTTCTATAATATATTGTCACTATTCATTGTTGTCTTCTTCACTTTTTTTTATGAGCAATTATTTGATTGATTTTTGGACTGACCATTCTGGCTTTACATTCTGTATCCATAAATATGTTTATGTCTTAAAAATAAAATAAAAAAATAACTTTGTTAAAAAAAATACTAATAACTTTTTAAAAAAATCCTGTTGTTTAGGTATCACACTTGGGGGTGCGACTTCTTCAAGGTGATGAACAAGTGCAACATATACCTTTGGATCTTGGTTCACCTGTGACCTTCGCATCATCTGCTGACCCTTATGTTGTCATCTTGACGGAGGATGGTCAAGTTATGTTGCTTACACTTCGAGAAGGCCGGGGAGAAACCAAACTGCATGTCACACGGCCTCCAATATCACTGGTAACAGCTCCCCTTTCCATTTCTTAGATTGCAAGATACAATAAATCCTGGATAGTAAGAATACCTACCTTCTTACAAAGTAGCTTTTCAGATGACCCAATTCAAATTTGTTATAGCACATCACCTTTGTATATAGAATACCATACTTGGATATAACATTCTTAGACCTTGGTCCTGAGCTCTTCTTACTATCCCGTTTTTACTGTATTATTAAGGTCGTAATGTCTCTACTGATTATTTTAATTTCATTCCAGAAACCACAAATAACTGCTCTGTGCACATACCGAGATGTAAGCGGATTACTGACCTTCTCACTCACAGAGGAGTATACAACAGATATTGCAGAGGAGACTGCGCAAAAAGTGTAGGTACCTTAAACTTTTTGTGTGAGAGAATTACTGTGGCTTTATTATATGGGGTTTTGGATTCCCTTTCACTGAAAGTATTGATGTGGTATGTGTGATACTTTGTACATTTATGTTTGTGTTGTTTACTATATTGCTTGTTCCTTACATGCTTAGGGATCCCACAAAAAATGAAGTGGATGATGAAGATGATCTTCTTTATGGTGATACTGATCCTACAACTTTGTTTACAATGCCAAACCCGGTAGAAACTCAACCTTCAACTTCTTCCAAGAGTGTACCATGGTCAGAAATTGCTTTCTCTTTTGTAGAATCACATTTTTAGTTGGAACACAATGTTACTTTTCCTTGAATTTGTTTTTTAATAGGTGGCATAAACGGATGCAGAAAGTGGATCCATCATTCTGGCTCTTCCTCATTCGTGAAAATGGTTTGATGGAAATATATACATTGCCTGAATTCAAATTAAGTTACATTGTAAGAGGCTTGGGGCAAGGCCTCAGAGTACTTACTGACAGTTTAGAAGCTACACCAACCCCACTACCTCAAGGAGATTCAGGTACCTCAAGATTGTCATAATTATGACAGCAAAAATTTGTTATATCAACTCTACTGACATAATTTTAAATTTTAGGACTTAGCCCAGACCTTCTGGTACGAGAGCTTTTGGTAGTTGGGCTTGGTCATCATGGCAACCAACCTCTTTTACTTGCTCGCACAGACGATGAACTTCTCATCTATCAAATATATAGATATCCTCGAGGAAATTTGAAAATACGTTTCAGCAAAGTGAATCATAGTGTTCTCATCAGAGAGCGGAAAACAAGGTTTGTGAATATTGTTGCGCTTTTTAATGCTGCTACCAGCATGAATATAATTTTTCCATTTGATCCAAATCAGAGGCAAGAAAACAGAAGACAAACTAAACCGTGTTACCCAACTCCGTTACTTTGGAAATATTGCAGGATACAATGGAGTAAGAGAATTGCACAGAAATGACTTAACTTTGCACCTAAAATATTGACTACAAGTTTGTATCATTAATTGTGTTATATGTACTTACTTTCTGCAGGTATTTGTATGTGGGGCATACCCTCATTGGTTATTCCTCACAGCTAGGGGAGAACTCCGCTCTCATCCCATGAATATTGATGGTCCTGTGATGTGTTTTGCTCCTTTCCACAATATTAACTGCCCTCAAGGATTTCTTTACTTCAACAAAAAGGTTGACTAGAATGCTTTCTATTGCTTTATAGTATCTAACTCACCACAGGTAGTACTAATTAGCAGTTCACTGTTCTAGAGTGAATTGCGCATTTGTGTGCTTCCAACTCATCTGTCATATGATGCTACATGGCCAGTTCGCAAAGTACCTTTGCGTTGCACTCCACATTTTGTCACTTATCACTTGGAGAGTAAAACATTTTGTGTTGTCACAAGTTCAATAGAAGCATCAAACAAATACTACCGTTTTAATGGGGAAGACAAAGTAAGTTCATTTGATCAGTCTGGAATACTTATTTTGATATAAATATTTATTAAGTCATATTTTTTTCTTTGTTTATTATATTAGGAGCTCTCTGAAGAAGAACGCAGTGAGCGATTTCCACTTCCTCTTCAAGAACGCTTTAACATTCTTCTGTTCTCCCCTGTGTCATGGGAAGTAAGTCATCCATCAGTGAAAAACTTTGATAGTTGAGAATCTTACTTAGCCAATGTAGACAAATATCATGATCGCCTCCATCACAGCGCTCACATATTTCATTTTCTTTCAGGTCATTCCAAACACCCGTGTGGAGCTAGAGGACTGGGAACATGTGACCTGCTTGAAGACTGTAAGTCTAGCCTATGAGGGTACTAGAAGTGGTCTGAAAGGCTATGTAGCAATTGGTACAAATTACAACTATGGGGAGGATGTAACTAGCCGCGGAAGAGTAAGTCATTCATCAAATGTGTTTCAAAATTCCAATGGTTTCACAGTTGCTCAGACATGTATGTGTATTTACAGATTATTATCTATGACATTATTGAAGTTGTGCCAGAGCCTGGTCAGCCACTTACCAAAAATAGGTTTAAGTGCCTCTACTCAAAGGAACAGAAGGGACCAGTAACAGCTATTTCTCAGGTTCTTGGTTTCCTTGTGTCTGCTGTAGGACAAAAGGTAAGTTTATTCAATTTACTTAAAAAAATGTATCTTTCTTTAACGTTTTAATTTAAAATAATACAAAAACAATTTCTGCCCATCCCATCTCAGATATATATATGGCAACTAAAAGATGATGATTTAGTAGGTGTCGCCTTCATTGATACACAAATTTACATCCATCAAATTATCACTATTAAAAACATGATACTAGTAGCCGATGTCTTCAAGTCCATTAGCCTGCTTCGTTTCCAGGAAGAATATAGAACCTTATCTTTAGTTAGCAAGGCAAGTTAATGTTATGACTGCAATTTCTAACTCATCAGATATTATGTACTTTTTACTCATTTGCCTTAATATTGCTACCTTTCCAGGATTTCAGAGCATGTGAAGTCATAAATGTAGAGTTCATGATAGATAACACTCAACTAGGTTTTCTTGTCAGTGATGCTGAGAAAAATATTGTGTTATACACATATCAGCCTGAAGCAAGAGAAAGTTGCGGAGGGCAGAGACTTATGCGAAAAGCTGATTTCCATCTTGGACAACATGGGTCTAAATTTTTCAGAATAAGATGTAAACTAAATGACATTCCACCTGATAGAAGACAAGCTATGGGAGCAGACAAACGGCACATCAATATGTTTGGTAAACTTAAACTACTTAATAAATGACATATTTTCATATATGTATATATATATATACGGCGAATGTCCGGTGGCGGTGAAAGTCGACATTCGCCGGCGAATGTCCAGATTCGCCAGAGGTCACCGGCGAAAATTCGAATGTATTTTTAAAGTAATTTTAATCAGACATTTGCCGGTCTGTCACTGGCGAAAGTAAGATTCGCCAGAGGAGACCGGCGGTATAACCCTGTACAGTACGTATATTCATCTAGATAGTTAAAATTGTTTGTAACATTTTAAATTGATTTTACAGTTACCATGGATGGTGGCATTGGCTCTTTGCTTCCTGTGCCGGAGAAAACCTACCGGCGTTTATTAATGCTTCAAAATGTTCTTGTCACAAGTGTACAGCATGTAGCTGGTCTCAATCCTAAAGCTTTCAGGTACCTATGCATGCAAAAGATGTGATGACTTACTTGTTTAGTAACTTAAAATCTAAGGCACACACAGTTTCAATTTCTAACTTTCATTTCATGATTGCAGAACATACAAAAGTGCCAGAAAGTTATTGAGCAATCCAGCAAGAGGTATAATTGATGGAGAATTAGTTTGGAAGTTCTTCTCTCTGCCTGCCAGTGAAAAGGCAGAAGTTGCCAAGAAAATAGGAACAAAAGTTGATGAAATTCTAGACGATTTGCAGGACATTGACAGATTGACAGCACATTTTTGATTTTTCATTTTCCTTTGTATAATTGTAATTTAACTTTGTCTCATTAATATGCTTTTAAAATTACTATCTGACTACCTTCGCTTGTAGGTTCTCGTGATCATGTGAATAAGGTGGAGTGTATTTTGATTTGAAGCTGTTAAACACCATCATGAAATGAAAATAAAATCAATAAAATATGTTTGTATTTTAATACTTACTTTTGCTGTTTGTTTGAAGGTTTACTGGTTTGTATTTAATGCATTTTAGAGTTTAGGCTGTACTTTCCAGTGAACAACATCTTTCCACCAGGATGGGCGTTCAAAGGTATCTGGGCTCTGGTAGAGCGCAGCTTGAAGATTCTGATACAACTGAACACAAACATTCAATAAGGAAAAAAAATAATCAGGATTACCAACATTCTACTAAACATTCAGACTAACAACTTACATTGCCATCAGACTTCCCAAGGACAGAATTGAGGATGAAATCAGGAGGTGCAAGTCCATCTGCTAGTGCAACGGCTTCTGGTTTGAGTTTGGCACATAAATCAAGAACACCTTGCCGGATGAGCTCTGCAGGCTTGGGACCGCTAATATACCCTCCTAAACATAATCAGTTAACAATTTTCAATTCAAAACATCCAAATATGATAAAATTTCCTATTAGGTAAGTCAAATAAATACCCTGGTATAGAGTTCCAAGGTGCTTCTCAAGACTCCACAAGCCATACAACTGACAACATTTCAACAGTACTGCAGACTGTTCAGCAGGCTGCTCTTTCATACAGGCCTTTTCATACATCTTAGCAAGAACAAAGTGCTGAAAAAAAAAAACACAAGAAAGATGACCACATATGTAATTTATGCTGCTCCCTTTATAAAGACTCCACTCACCTCAATAAATACCAACGACAATGTTCGAGCAAAAAACACCTGTGAATTATTTCTAGCAGAGAAAGCATCTTCTCCTGATGCAATCAAGGATGAAACTTTCTCGTCAGTGATGCTGAGAAGATAGCATACAAGCCACTTGTAAGCCTTAAGAATAGTTTGTATGTCGGATACCTCTTCCACCTAATAAAGAAACAATTATAATTTTAAATATTTTAGCTAAAGTACATCCAAGAATATGTACTGTAGTATGCTACTCGGCTTACAGTTTTTGGTGCAAAATGAGTAAGAAGTATTTGATCTGCTTGACTAATATATGTGAATGATCCAAGAGGAGATTTTGGAATGGATTTTTTTTCCCTCAACTGTTTCCAAACTTGCAGTAGCCAGTTACTTGTTTGCTGAACTAAAACATTGTTTTCACCTTCATAGGTGCAGTTCGCATCATTTCCGTTACGCAGATCTCCAATACCAGCCACTTAAAAAACAAGATTGATGATAATTAATGATGTTACAGAGAACTGTCACAAACATGAACTACAAGGTCACAATTATCTTACTTTTCAGATACCCATGACCTCCACAAGATTCTCTGCATTCTTGGATAGCATCTCTTGCCACCCAACTACATAGAGGTTTACCTGAGGATGACAACGCATGAATTTCAATCCCAAAATCAGCCTGTTAAATGAAGATTCTATTATGACTTGGTTATTTAGAGTGTGAATGCAAGTCATAAATCATAAAGAAAATTTAAAACACACCTGATCATCTGATTTTTCACCAAGAATGCTCTTTATTATGAAATTGCTGTAGACCCCTTGGAACCAAGTGGAGAAGTTTGACAGAGCATAGGCAGCAGCCAAGTAAGGGAACAATCTGTATTGCTAATGAAAATAATTCAGTGTGAAATAGCTTAGCAAAACATTAGAGATAGTAAATTTGGTACAAAATATTACCTGCAGTTCGTATTCAATAATAGGGTACTCCTCTGCGCCAGAGGGACCAAATTGTCGACGTACTCCAGAGTAACGTACAGCAATTGTGATGGCTTTCACTAAGTATGCAACACCGAGGCCACATATTCCAACACGTCCTCCAGAAAGGGCACCTAGAGAAGCTCCTATGAGGCATATAACATGGCATGAAGTCATAGGTCTCTCTCTCTTTAATTTTCATCATCAAGACGGTAAGAGATCTACTAACCAAATCTTTTGTTTGGATCTTTAAAGGGGCTTACATACTTCCCATCCTCACTGACATCTCCATTCTTGTTCAGTAAGTTATCACGAGGTATACGGTAATTTTTGAAAAGAATGAACCTGGCAAACATTCATCTGATTCATAACACACGGAGGAGCAATAAGTAAGTAAAAGTAACTGAGCAACTACATACCCATTATCAACACCATTTAGACCAATTTTCTCACCCAGATCACCCACAATAATACCAGAAAACGGAAGCAAAGTTTTTGTGTCTCTGATTGGAACAACAAATGAATGAAGACCATGGTTTTGTCCATCAGGTGTAATAAGCTGAGCATACAAGACAATATGTGTGCAACATTTTCCTAAAAGCACCAGAGAAGTAAAAAAGACAACATTAGAGATTATTTGCCTTATTACAAACATTTAACCACAGTACCTCTGGAAATGCACTTACCAAGGTTACCAACCCAGCATTTGGCACCTTCAAAATCAGGAGTATTGATGACAAATTCCTTACTCTTAGTGTCATACATTGCTGTAGTACGCATGCCTCTGACATTTGTACCATGAGCTATTTCTGTGAGCGCAAATGCCCCACCAATCTAAAATTTTTAAAAGTACATAAAAGTAGAACTTGTCCCTTGGCAGAAACTGTGCGCAGAATATTAATTTACGAAGTACTTACACTGCCATCCTCAATAGCTTCCATATAATCAAAATGCTTTCCAGTTCCCATACCTCTGATAGCATTGTTAAAGAAATCAAATGTCAGAGATAATTTTATAGATGTTGATGGTTCATATTGAAAGAGGGCGGAATGAAGCACCATAGGCTAAAGATTAGAAATACATATAATCACCAACCATAGTTTGTAAAGGTAATAAATATAAGGTGGTGTTTAAGATAGAAAAAATAATATCATAAATGAAAATTTACCAGTCTTGGCTCATTAATTATGTCTTCCATCGTCAGCAGATTCATAGCTTTTAATTTATACATTCTTTTTACAGCAAGGTTCCGCTGCTCATCAACAGAAGGGGTGTGGACGGGGTGGTGAAATAAGGGATCATCCTCTAAGGCTTTCCACAATTTCAACTGGAAAATAATTCAGAACTTCACAGTACTAATACATTTTTTAGAGGGAAGAAATTTATTTTTATATGCCACAGGTGCACCACAAATGTGCGTGAACAAGAAACCAAACCTTGAATTCAAGAAGTTTTTCATCCTCCATAAAAACTTTTAACGATTTCCAGTCAAAAGATGCTTGTTGTCTGTATTGATCCAAAGGCCCAGGAGGAAAATCCTTTAAGAGATCCATCGCTACTATGGGTTTCTTCTTATCTAATCAGGAGTAACAAAGTATCATTTAACTGAAAATTTCTGCTATTCATCATACTAATTATTTAACTGACATAGATGGGAAGAGAAAGCTCAGCAGTGGACACATGAGAAATAAACATATAATGTATAGTAGAAATTTACTAATTATCAAACATGTATAGGAAATGGAAATTCTAAAGCTGTAATAGCCTGTGGTATTTTGTTATATTTCAGTAAGCATATAAGTCTAAGAGGCGACATTCCCTTACCAGATGACGAGCAGATGTTGGTGCTTGTGAAACTGAGTCTGTTTATGGGTACTCGAACTCTTCTAATCATGAACATGAATTCAAGTTTTAGTCAACCGTCAAATGTTATTGTTCATTTTCTCTTATCTTAACAGAACGAGATAAAACAACAGCTTGTACTTTCACACTTGTTGCTTTACTTTGTGATATCTGACTAGGCTACACGGGAGCGTTCTTGGTTTGTCTAGGTTCGAGCAGGGCGGGGCGTATCTCCCCGTGTTCCATACCAATTTAATTGCGTCTTATCATTGTCGGGTGCGACGGACGGACTTTGATTGCAGAGATTAATTATGTAAACACCGGCACTGACAAATACAACTCTTTGACAGAAGCAGACACAAGTGTTTCTTCACTTCCGTCTTTCTGTGCATGCAACATTCTCATCGGCAGCCTAGCTGATTGGCCGATGCCAGCCAACTGGGAAGACGCAAATTGCGCGCGGGTCGGTTTTAGTCGCTCAAACTCCCCGCGCTCCCGACATGGACAGTTCCAAGTACGACGGACTTAAGATTGTTACACTAAGCCTTGTTTGCTGGTATTAAGTCAATGTGTAACATACTATGCCAAAGGTGAAAGTGGGTACGTAAAGACAAATTCGTCGAGTTTGTGTGTGAAGCCGGCGTAGAAGCGTCTTCACCAGAAGATTCCATTAATTGCCATCCACCATAATTGAGGCTTCACAAAGTGAAGCACCTCGTTCAACCGACGCAATGCGCATGTCCCCAAGGGACCTCCGCCATGCTACCGGGTGGTGCTGTACGTCGGCCTTATGGCTATCTTGGCTCGGCCGCCGGCCTTGCTCCCGCCGCCGCCGTGCCCACGGGGGCCTAAGTGCGACGCGGTGCCAGTCGCGGCGTGCCAGTGGGCGGGGGTGCCGATCGGACCCGGGGCGAGGCCAGGACGGGTCCTTGGTCCTGCGCGCCTAAGTACCGCAGCAGCGCGGCCGCAGCCCAGGCCTCTCATTTATTTCGAGCGCCGATTGGATCTTGGATCCGATCATCGACACGGATCGGTCGCGGGTGAGCCGGCGCGAGACAGGTCGGCACTAGTGAGGGCGTTGCTGCGGTGTCCTGTTCGCGCGCGGGGGGCCAGGGCAGAAGATGGCGCGGATCGAGTACGGCTACACGCCCTTCGGGGCCTTTAGCAGCGGCCGCCGGACCGGGGCCAAGTTCAACGCCTTGCGCTACCGACTGACGCTGGAGGACGAGATGGACGCCAAGAGGACGGCGCACCGACAGCGGAGGAGCCGTGGCGACAAGGTGAGGGCTTGTTGCACAACAACAGCCGCAGATGTAGTTGGGGGAAAGCAAAAAACTTCCGGCCGGTAGTACCCTAGAAGCATTCAGAAATGCGCATCAACGGAAATTCCGTCACTAGGGGACCATCAGAATTTTGAATGTGAATTAACTGCAATTACTTTCCATCAACGGCAAATCACCTTAACTTCTAGTCAAAATTCCGATGGTGTTCCAAATAAACGGAATTTCCGTTTATTCAAATGAACGTAAAAACAACTGCGCGCGTAAAAACAACTCCTTATGGCGTCTAACTCTCGTGAATAACTCAAACTGCTTGCAGGACCTGCTGCT